AAACAGGGCCAGGTGTGGTGGCTCATGCCTGTAATCCAGCACTTTGGGAGGCTGAAGTGGGCGGATCACTTGAGGCCAAGAGTTGGAGACCAGGCTGGGCAACATGGTGAAACCCTATCTCTACTAAAAATACAAAAATTAGCTGGGCATGGTGGTGTGTGCCTGTAATCCCAGCTACTAGGGAGGCTGAGGCAGGAGAATTGCTTGAACCCTGGAGGCAGAGGTTGCAGTGAGCCGAAATTGTGCCACTGCACTGCACTCCAGCCTGGGTGACGGAGTGAGACTCCATCTCAAAAAAAAAAAAAAAAAGAAGAAGAAAAGAAAACAAAAGTTTTACTGGGAAAATTGAGAGAGAAAGTGAACAAGGGAATTTCCAGGATTGTTTCATCTCTAAATATACAGACGGGGCCATTTAAAAGTTGAAGTGGGGCATGGTGGCTCACACTTGTAATCTCAACACTTTGAGAGACCAAGGAGGGTAGATCACTTGAGTCCAAGAATTCAAGACCAACCTGGGCAATGTAATGAGACATCATCTCTACAAAACATAATAAAAAATAAATAGCCAGACTTGGTGGTATGTGCCTGCGGTCCTGGCTTCTCAGGAGGCTGAGACAGGAGGATCGCTTGGGCCCGGGAGGCTCAGGCTGCAGTGAGCACACCAGTGCACCCTGCCTGGGCAACAGAGTAAGGTTCTGTGTTTAAATTAGTAAGTAAATAAAGTTTAAAATATGATGGGGTGTTGCTACATTGCCAAGGCTGGCCTCAAACTCCTAGGCTTAGGGGCCACACATGCCTGCCACTATGCACATTTTACATTTACTTTTTTTTTTTTTATCCACACAATGATTCCCATGGATACATTATGTTTTAAATTTGTTGTATTAATGTAGAATAAAGTCATTAACATGATATTGTCCACAAGGACAAATGTCTATTGAGAAAATAATTAAATTTCTCATTTAACTCGGGAGAAAATCAGAAATACCTTTTTGAACACGTAATACATTGAAGAGCCTTTGGTGGTTACATGTATTTTATGATAAATTATAAATTCTATTTTATGTCTTCTACTTAAGAAGACCTAAAGGGAGAAAAATCCTTGAGACATAGGGATATGACATATTTTCAAGTTTATAGCAACTCTCCATTTGGAATTGGCCTGTTCTTCCTTATTGTGTCTTGCCTCAGAGAAAATAATAAAATAAAAATACCACTCCTTTCCTGAAATCCCCATTAGTTCTACTGTGTAAGTGAACAATACGTAGCTCCTTTTGTTCAGATACTCAGGAGATTATTCTTTATTAGTGGCATTTAACATTGCTAATGTTCATTCTGTTCTTAGAAAACTTAAAGCTCTGACTTTCTTAAAATACGTTTTTCTGATTTTTAAAAACTCCATCAAGTAACAATATCTTGAATGTGGTCCATGCTGTCAGTATGATATAGTGAAAATGAGATAGGAATAGGCATAGAAAAGGAAAACCAGGAAAAGAAGGGGGTTTCAACCAAACGAGGATTGGAAAAAAAGGAAGAGAGAAAGAAAGAAAAAGAAGGAGGGAAGAAGTGTAACAAATTTGGCATTACTTCGTATTTAAAATCTTATTAAGATTAAGGAGAATGTTGATGTGTGTAGGGCTGTTGGCCCACAGGGTCGTGGGGTGTGCCTTATGCTGTGCTGAGGCACAGGATCCGAGAATTAGAGACAGGACACAGAAGTACAAGGAAATTGCAGTTGGGCTCGACGGGCCACGCCACCTATGAGCCAAGTCAGGCGAGGCCCCGAATGTTCAGAAGCATGAATATTTATTGTGTATAGGTTAGGGGGCAGGGCAGTGAGTGAAATCATCTTTAAGGATAGTGATAGGGTTGTGAGCAATAAAACAAGGGGTCCACCCCCATTAGGTCACCTAGGCTAGGTAGTGGACAGTGAGCAGCAAGGGGCCCATTCCCATCAATGCCAGGGCCATGTGCAGTAAGGGGTCAACCCCCATTAGGTCACCGAGGCTTGAAGGTGGGCCGTGCGCCATGAAGAGGGTGCAGTGTGCAATACTTCTATCTATGGGAAACTACTTTTAAGAAGATTTATGGGGGGGATGCTTTAAGTCATACAGTAGAGACAGAACTGTCAGTGTTGCCGCCACCTGCTTCCAATGAGTTCTATGGGAAGATGCTTTTCGAGCAGCACAGTAGCAAGAGCTGTTAAAGTTCACAGTCACCAAGGTGGATTGCTGGTCTGAGGGCAGCCTTCCACAAGACCTGGAGCAAGGTCCTATAACTCCTTTATAAGGAGGAGTGGCTCTCACCCCAAGCCTGCCATACAGTGGGTATCTTTATGATACTGAACGCTGCTGCCTGGGCCATGGTTTCTTGTCCTGGTATAACTGTTTTTCCCTTAAATCATGCTCTGCACTGTGTCTGCTTTAGGC